CCCCCCCCCCCCCCCCCCCCCCAACCAGGCTGGACGATGGCCAGGCCCGGGGGGAAGGCGGGCTTGGGGGGGGGGGCACCGGCATGGAGGCGGGGCCAGAGGGCCTGCACGCTGTTTGAGCGGTTGGTGTTTACCTGTGCGAGGCTGGGCCGCGGGCCGGGTCGGACAGTGACCGACAGGGTCCAGTGCTCCTCCTGCAGCTAAATGGGCCGTGCGGCCATATGGGCTCGGCCACCGGCTCTACATCACTGTCACGGCGGCCCGGGGGGAGCATCCCAGCGCCCGGCCCCGAGATCTAGGTCAGATCCAGGAGGGGAGCCGCAGGGGTCTGCTGGCTCCCCCGCATCCTCTGGGGGGCAGTATAGAGGGCAGGTAACAGGGGGCTGGATACTGGAAGGCTGGTCCTACACCCCTATCCTTCCCCCACCCTCCATTCGGAGCCAACCTGCCACCCAGTGAACCAGGCCAGTTCTTGGGTCTGCTCCCCATACCTCAAGATGATGTACACCCCTACAGGCCCCAGACCCTGGCCCTCACCTGCCCCCCCCCCCAGGACTGAATAATGGAGCCCGCACCTCCCCTCAATCCATCAGGACAGTAACGACCCGGCTGGGCCCAAGCTACGCCGAAGAGGAGGGGGGTGGGGCAGGGTGGGGTGTGAATTACCGCTTCCTGATGGAGAGGGTGTTGGTGTGGGGGCGGGGGGGGGGGGATTGCACGCTGAAAAACACCACACGACCAGTGTGTAAGGGCATTAGGTCCCTGAAACTGGGCTGAAGTTTGTCCAAGCATTTAAAGGAGGGGAAGAGTGAGACGTTATGATTGAGACTTTAAGAGTGAGACTTTAAGAGTGTTAACATCAAAATAACCAGGATTCAGTGCAGAGCCCTGGCCAGCGGCCATATGCGTGACCTGCGGAAAGCTCAACTTGACCTGAAGGGACGCCAGAGGTGTTGGGGTGGGTAGACCACGCGGAAGCTGCACGGGCAGGTTCACACCCGAGCGACCCACAGACCCAGCACCGGTGTCCTGAAATACACACCCAGCCCTGGAACTGCCCATCACGGGGTTCTGGGGCTCCGGCCTGAGCGAAGGACCCCCGTTAGCAAGGGGGGGGGGGGGGGACTGTTGGAAGCCGCAGGGGCACCTCAGGCCCAGAGAAGAGGAGCAAGACACACATGAAGAGTTTGGGTGGTTTCACAGCTCCCCGACTTAACCCACTCTTACTACAGTAATTAGAGCAGATTCCTGAGCTGTGGGGCTGGGAGGCGAGGGGGCCGGGGGGGGGCGCTGGCTGAGCGAAGGGGAGGGTTAGGTCTGTAGGGGTTCTGATTGATTAACGGTGCAGCAGAGTCAGTCACTGTGCCTAATCGTTACTGGCACTGAGGACGCTCCTCGTTTTCTCCGTTAGCGGCCACTGCTAATTACCATGCCACCATGTGACCGGCTCTCCTTGTTGGGTGCGACGCTGCCCCCAAAATTGGCTGCCCAGCTCACACCCATTCGGAAAGGGTTCCTTAGGAATTAATAGGGACTCCAACCCAAAGAGCTGGGATAATAGCTACTGTGAACGTGCACGTTTGATTGTGCACGTGTGAGACTGCACAAGTGGGCATTCACGCGTGGGTACATACTTGTGAGACTGCACAAGTGGGCATTCACGCGTGGGTACATACTTGTGAGACTGCACAAGTGGGCATTCACGCGTGGGTACATACTTGTGAGAATGCACAAGTGGACATTCACGTTTGGGTACATAGGTGTTGAAGTACATGTTTGGGAGTGCACGTATGAGCGTTCATGTGTGGTTGTGCACAAGTGGGCATTCACGTATGCGTGCACATGTGTGGGACTATGATGGGCATTCACGTGTTGGAGTGAATGTGTGAGCATTTATGCATGGCCTTTAACGTATGAGAGTGCACATGTGGCCATCTGGAGTGTGGAGATATGAAGCAGAATGGCCGGAGAGGGATGCAATGTCCTCGAGAAGAGTCCTGCCCCCACGTCACTACAACACACGCTGCTCTGACAGGAACAGTGCGGCGTGACAGAGTGCCGCACTCCTATTGGTCAGTCGCCACGCTCCTATTGGTTAGCTGCTGTGCCAGGCAGCGACAGAGGCCAGACATGACTTGATGAGGAAACATGGGGACAAGGGGGCTAAGGAGACGCTGCTTGTTGCAAACCCAGGGGCGCTACGGAGGCCGAATTACCTTAGCGGTGCCGGAAGCCGGACGCTAATTTTAATCATGACATAGTGAAGGGATTAGACACGTGCACAGGCACACCACACACGCACAGAACCGTCAGACAGAAGGCAGGAACCACACCGGTTCTGGCCCTGGTCTGCCGTAGCTGCTCTGCCTCGGCTGTTAAGGCAGGGTGGCACAGAACGATCTCGTCACACCTCATTGACCACGCCCACTCACATGGGACGGAAAGCAAGGTGAGGTGTGGGGGGGGGGGGGGCGTCCTACCTGGAGCTCCGTCTGGAAGAAGAACTTCTGAGGACACTGGGAGCAGTCGTAGATCTTGTCCTCTTGCCCGTGGACAGCGAAGATGTGCTGCTGCAGCTTGTTGGCCTGGACAAAGACTGCAGGCAGGGGGAGGGGGGAGGGAACACGGGCATTAGCGGGCGGGGGGGGGCATGAATCACACACTGGTATGCAGGGCAGCACGAGTCCAGCAGCTGAAGCAGCAGCACAGGCAGGATGGGATGGAGACACTGCAGCCTGAACCGAATCTGAAGGGGGGAGGGGGGGGGGGGGAATCCCCAACAGAGCTCAGACACCTATCAATAAGTCATGCGTCTCTCCTCCTCCATTTTTAATTCAGTCACTGTTCCTCTGTGTTTGTTTATTTCCTTTCATCTCTAACGAGGGGGGAGGGTGTAGGGGTCCCATTTTACTGTAGCTGAGACCGCCTTCCTTTAGAGTTAGGGGGGGGTAGCGCACGAGGTACACGGATGAGGGCGGGGTCTAACGGGGCGTTGGGTCCGGCAGTAGGCAGAGACAAATGGCGTGAAGGGAGTGACAGGCGGACATTCTGCGGATAATGCAGGCGACCCGACGCGGCCTGGGCCCTGAGATTCATGGTGCGATTCTGGCCGTCGGCGAGTTACGCAGATCCGGGCCCTGGTCACGCCACATGCATTAAAGACATATTCCCGGAGGACCGCAGACCAGCAGATCCCGTCAGCACGGAACCCCACCCGTCCGGGCCATCTGTAATTCCGGTTCCGTTCCGCGTGGGGGTGCAAATCCCCAAAGTGACATGCGTAAACCCCTTCACGGTAACGCCTCCATTCGCAGGGCTGGCCACTCGTCTCCACGGTTACTCCTGCTCTGGCTGCTTTACAGCGAATCGATCGTTAACGTCGTTCAATTAAAGAGTGAAGCAGGAGGGGGGGCCTGGGACAGCGAGGCGGGGGCATGGTGTGGGTGGGGGCATTAAAATCGCAGAGGAGAGACCAACAGATAAACAAACGAACAAACAAACTAAAATGTGCAGCGGCTGTTGTGAGCAGTGAAAGCTATGGATTCACAGAGTGATTTCAGTGGTAAGTGAAGCCACTGCCTTTAATTAAATACAGTATTAATAATATGTAAAATATAAATTTATTATAAATGGGGCAACTGCCACACATTTAAATCGAGTTTCAGATGCTTGTGTGTGTGTGTGTCTGTCTGGCAATACGCAAGTGAGTTTGCGTGGTGCGGATGTGTGTGTGTGTGGGTGTGTGTGGGTGTGTGCCCACATGGTCTCCCTCCACATGCTCTTCTCAGAGACGCGAGACGCGCACGCATGCACACACACACACACACACGGGCCGAACACCTTGACCGCCCTCGAACCCGCAGCCCTACCCGTGAAGCAGACGGGACACTTGAAGGTGCCGCCCATGCCCTCAAAGCTGTGTTCGATCAGGTGGCACAGGAGCTTGGCCGGGGAGTCGAACATCTGGTTACACAGCTTGCACTCGTGATTGATACCCTCCTCTGGAATGAAAAAAAGAGGAGAAGAGGAGAAAAAAAAAGTTCAAATGATACAACTTGTTAGCCGCACGGAGGATCGGACAGACAGGAGGGACACGCACACACACGCCACACGCACACACACGCCACACGGACACACACGCCACACGTCCACGCATCGCGCCTACCCCCGGCCTGCTCGACTGATCTTACATCTGGAAGAAGCAGCGGCGCCCAGAATGGCGACCCGGATGCGACCGCGACCCGAAATCGGGCTGCAACGTCCCGCCACGCACCGAGCCGGGCCCCGTCCGGCCTCTGGGCCGCTCGCCTTCTCCGGGCCGGGCCCCGCCCCCTCCGTGCCCCCCACCCCCAGCCCGTGCTGTTCCTTTCCTGGCCGGTAATTGCCTGACACCCCCTGGAAGTCCAGGCCGTCTGCCCTCCCTGGTCGTCGTGCTATTTTAAGCTGTGGTGGATGACATCACCTCCCCCCGCAGCGGTGCCCCCCCCCGGGGGCGGATGAAAGGTGGGCGTCGGATCCTGGCTGGGCGCCTCCGGTCCGTCTTATCGGCCTGGCGCCACACAGGACAGAGAGCTCCTGGCTCGCCGTCCCATCAGATGGCATCCGCTGTGCCTAACCCCCCAGGCCACCACGCTCCATTGCTCTGCGCAGGTGGATGCGACACGCTGCTCGCAGCCCCGTTGCTTAGCGTGGGGGACTGCGCAGGGTTAATAAAGTGCTCAATCACTACACCCCCCCCCCCAATTCCTCTGATTCCAATCTCTTCCCTGACTCAAAGCCCCACACAAGGGTGCACTAATCCCTTTCTGAATAGAGAGGAAGAGAGGAGAATCTGAGATAGGAGGGGGGAGGGAGGGCTGGGGGGAAAAGAGAAACTTGGTGAGGGGGTGGGGCGGGGGGGTGGAAGTGGCCTGTTTATAACCCCACTCCCCCCGCCCCCACTGATAATTGGCAGGCCGGAGTTGCTTGCGAGGACCAGATAAGAGTGGCAGCGGATTCGTGGTTGGGGGGGAAGGACAATAGGCTGGATCGGTACTGCGTACGGCAGGGGTCACGTGACCATCGGCACCGCGTAGGCCTCCGGTCACATGACCAGGCGGCCGGACGAAACAGACACGCCGCACATGCTGCGTAGGAGGAAGGAGAGATGGGGCAGAGTAATTGGGGAGGGACCGTCACGCAACCCACACTGGGACCGGGGGGGGTTAGGGCGTCTGCAGGAGCCGCTCTAAGCATAATACACACAGGAGCTCACAGGAGCTGGCATGCCACAAATGGAAGGTTCTGCAAAGTGAGAACGGGACGGTTTGGCCAAAGCGATGTACAGGTGAGGCTGCGAGTGTCTCACAAACATTCGGCCGTCAAGGAGCCGCGCGGCTGAATGTCCGATGAGCGGGCAGGTGCACGTTGGCATCAGCGCTGATGCTACACGCTACGCTAAAACCGTCGCTAAAATGAGGGCCCGTCTACCCATCGCCCCACATGCATCCCGTCACCGTTACATATGAAAGGACCAGATTTCTGTGCCAACGTGTGATATGGACACGACTGCCAATGTGGAAATTATGAGCATGATGTTCTGGTCCCGGTTATCGGTTAAGTAGCAGCACCCTCGAGGTGCAGGGCAGGTTAGAGAAGTGTTCTCCAGTCCAGTCCTCGGGGGCCTGCATTTCTTTGTTCCCTCCCAGCTCCCAGGGAGGGAGCAAAAATGTGGACTGTCAGGGAGGGAGCAAAAATGTGGACTGCCTGGCAGGGAGCAAAAATGTGGACTGTCTGGCAGGGAGCAAAAATGTGGACTGTCTACAGGTCCCCAAAGACCACGTTGGGAAACACTGGGTTAGAGTGATGTGGAGGGGGGGGAGGCTGGGTGACAAAGCTGTTAGGGACTCATTATATATGCAGAGAGAAAAGAGGAGGTATGAAAAAGGGGTGAAGAAACGTTTAACTCTGAATGGGGGGGGGGGGGGGGGGGGGGGGGGGGGGGCGTCCTACCTGGAGCTCCGT